TTTAGCCCACATATCACCTCAGTAGTTCTCACTTCCTGCTCACCTCATACCTGTTTCTCAGCACAACACATAATTTTAGTTATGAAATTCCTGTGTTTTTGGACCTTGATGTTGGATTGTGGACATTAACACATCTGCTGTTGTGTTAAGCCTCTGAAACCTTCAAAGCCTCATTCACAGCTCATCTTACCTTGGAGTAACTGGACTCTTGGAASTGGAGGATCACAGAGACTTGGTAATTTCCTTTTTCTTGTTTCCCCAGTTCTCAATTCAATCACCACACTCATTTCTGTTTTTTGTGTTCCAGACCGACCAGTCCCACCAGATCGTGCAGGACCATTCGTACTCTTTATCATTTGTTCATTCAAATAAATATTGTTAATACTTTTTCTCTGGTCTTGGCTGGGTGTTGGGTTCAGGTTCTTACTTTAAACATTACGCTGTGAAAGGATGCAAGTTGTTGCATAAGGACCTGCATTTAATGTACAAATTTTTGAGCCTTTAATTTGAGACCTTTGAAAACAATATATACATATATTTATTAGGGGTGCAATGACACAGACAATTCAAGATACGGTTGAATACTTTAGTATTACGGTTTGATATTTTTTCGATACACAAAGAGTGATTCCAATGCCCTTCTTAATTTGTAATTTTTTTAAATTATTAACATTTGCTTAACCTCAAAGGTACAGTTTTTAAATTAATTGTTGCTGAAACAGCAGGTTTCTCAGTGGATCTGTGCTCCACAATGCAGCCTAGCCTAGCCTTCAACAAAGCACATTTTCAGAAGATAAGTTGATAAAAAAAATGTTAAAAATCTGTATTGATCGTTAGAAGTGCATATTGAGCCTAGAGCACTGTATTGAACTAATGTGAAATAACGAATACAGAAATACTTTTAAAAGTAAGAGTGTTTTACTCATTGTTGAGTTGTGGTAAGTCTTGAAATGTAAACTCTCCTACTTTGGACATGGAATTCCCTTGCAGAATTGACATGCATTTTGGGAGATGTAGTTTTTGGTCAACGTTGGCTTTAAGACAGCTTATTTTAATGGGGTAATATCATGTAAAATCAACTTTTCTGAGTTTTATATCATGCTATAATGTTATACTCTCATAAAAAAAACATGCCCAAAGCCTTGTTCTGACTCATTCATGCATGTTTGAGAAATCCTGCAGCGTTTTTAGGAAGCCATGCTGAGGAGCAAAACAACAGGTAGGGACTAGAAACGCCTTTTGGTACCAGAAACACCCCTGGGACGTGTCTTTAAGCCAAATTTCCCCATTGCAGAGCTCGCCCCCTCCCCACACACCCCGCCCATGACTCCTGCAGGCTCTCGGGTCAAAGTGTAAGTGATACCTAGCTGCTGAGTTTTCAACATTAGTTCTCACTCAGTGAAGCTCCTTTCAGATTAAAAATACCTTTGAGGAAACGTATTTTCAGACGCCAAGTATACTGCATCATAGTACACGTGACACTCTAATTACAGTGCGGTTTCAAACCGAAAGTGAAACATGTCGCAGCGCTCCTGTCCGGAAAAGAAATTTGAACACAGCTGTTCTTTCTCCCCTCATATTCCGACACAGAGGGTAGAAACAGCTAAATTAGACAGTTAAAACACATTTACAGTTCATAACTCACCCTTTTTGTAACATTCCTCCTGTGTTGTCCACAAGCACTTTCTGCCCWGTTGTGGGTCCATTTCCTTGAAAAATAAAACTTAACCAGGCACTTTGAAGAAGCTCTGATGCTGGTAGTCTATGTAGATAATAATGTGGGTTTACRCACCCCAGAACCGAACATTTTGAATTCTGAACTTGCATTTTCGGCATGACGCTATTTGAACTACAAAATCACACAGCGAGGAAAAAAAATGGCGGACTATGAAATTCAGTTGGCTGGAAATACATTACCATAAATGGTAGTTCTGAAGAAAAAAGTGTGACGAAATAAACAATGAAACGAAATAAGCAAGAGCAGATTTTGAACAAACTGAAAAATTTGACCCATAAAAAATATAAAAAATATCTTTGCAGTAACAGAACAGAATAAATTAAAGTTTTCTACACTCCTAGACACTATAATTGCACAAAAAATAGTTTATAAATGCAAAAACAAAGTGAATTTAGCATGATATGTCTCCTTTAAGTAAAATATAAACGTTTTTCTTCTGGACAGAAGTCACCCATATTTGGCCCACGGGCCTTGAATTTGACACATGGACTAAAGCATTAACAAATTAAAAAGTACAACAGACTTGTCCCCTACTTCTTCATTACGTCAACAGTAAAGTGTTTAACTGCACTCTTCCATGATTGACTCTGCAGCATTTCCACGTTTCATGATATGGGCTCAGAGGTTCCCCATGGAAATGGCTACTATTTTGTCTTTTAATTGCCCCATAAATGCTCACAGTGTGATGATACCTCAATATATCTGTTTAAAGCCACTGATTAAACTCCCCTCAGCTTTAATTTCATCCTCATGTTAGTGTTTAGTCAGTGAGTTGCCATGGGGGTTTGTTGTTTAATGGAGGAACCCACTCAGCTGAGCATGTACTTCCCAGCACTGCTACTGTTACTGGAACCGTGCTTGTTACTAACACTTAGATTTGGCCAGAACTATGAAAATACATAAAAACATAAAAGCTCTCTTCATCTCTGAATTTTTACTTTCTTAACTTTTGAATCCAAAGAAACCTTTAGTAGTTTAGTGCTGCTGAGTGTGAAATGCTTGTATAGATTTAACAGTGCGCTTGAAACATGACCTGGAGCAAAGTGGGTTTATCTATAGTCAGAGCAGAGTGTGTAGGTTATCAGGATTGTTTTATAAATGAAGAGTTTTAATGTTATTGAAAGTTATTTACAGAAAAAAAACAAGTTTTCAGTATGTGCTAAAATTTGAGGTCTAGGTCTCAGTTTCAAAGGGAGTCACAAGGAGTCTTCACTGTTCAGGCTCATACAGTCACCTGACAATATTTATGTTAAGAACTCATAAAAACCATTACAAACAGTGTGCAGTGTACAGTTGATAATTTCATAATATTGAATGTGGAGTTTTCATCTGTATTTCATCACAGTCAGAGTTCTTGCAGTTCATTAAAAATAGACCAGTTATGATGGTTAATTGGATATTTTTGCACGCATGTTTTCAAATTTTATGCTGATCTGCATTATTTATTCTTTCATTCTTGATGTGTGATCAGTTTCTCCTGTTTGACTCTTGTTCATGGTAAGCTTGGACAGTTTACCCCTTCAAAATTTGTGACTCTGTTGTAGATTTTCTTAAGTGTCTGTTTCTGCTTCTCGGTGTTTTCTTCCCACAGCTGCTCCTATTTGTCTCTCTCTCACAGGTGTTTGTCATTTCAGCTTGTTAGTGTCTTTGCATTAACTTACCAGTTCTGCATTGTGTTTGCTCCCTGCCAAAAGTCCTGGTAGTTCCTTGTGTTTTAGTTCCCTGTCTAAAGTAAGCTTGCTACCAGGACAGCTTTTACCCTCATTAAATAAATTTACTTTGTACCTGCTGAATTAGAGCTCCTTGTGTTTGCCTGCTTCCTATAGGTCCAAACCTTGACCCAACGATGAAAGCAATACAGTTTTACACAAAAAAAATGAAAAAAAAGTGTTAAACTAAACATTTGCATTGACAAAATCCAACCCGTTTAATTATACCATGACGAGTTTTCAAGCAAGTTCATTTCTACAGGCATCCACTTCAATGTAAACCAGAAAGGAATTAAAATTGTCCCCTACATCAGTCGTTCCCAAACTTTACAGCTTTTGACCCACAAAATAGCAGCAACAGAGATCGGTGCCCCCAGCTGTTATCGGTTGATAAACATTGTTTTCACATCAAATAAACAAGAGCATAGTAACATTATTTATTATGCTATTTTTTGTCCATTTTAAGTACACTAATCTTATTATTTTGTAAAAACGAAGGAAAAAACGTTCTTAGTTGTCTTTTTGTTTTGTGTAATTTATTAAAAATATATTTTATGCCCCACTGTGGGTCCAGACCCCAACTTTGGGAACCATTGTCCTACATAATAGCAAGATTTTGATTAATCTGTTAGGAATGTGTTGTGAATGCCTCTCAGCTAATGTAAGCTAAAGTTGTCTCTAGATATCTTTAAAATTAGCTAAATAATTGTCATTTTTTGTGATTGTTATGGTTGATTTGCTGTGGTTATTTTAAATCCAGTTGACCCAGTTACTCAGTTGTTTGTATCTTATAAATACTTTTTCATTTTCAGTAAAATTCGCTTGTTCATAAGACGTTTAGCTAACATGGCAGACATACACAAACAGGCAAAAAAATTATCACCCACCTTTTTTTTTCTACTTAGCAGCAGGGGATGATTTGGGTTGGGTCATGAATAGGTTGTATTTGTTTACAGCAGCGTGTAAATGTTTTACCGGTTTATTTTTTTCACATTTGGGAGTGATGCAAGTCCATTTTGTGAAAGGTTAACTGTTATTTTTATTATTTGAAGAAAATGCATTATGCTGCTCAGTGCTGGGTGTTGAATACATCTGCTGCCTGGAAGTTTAAAAATGTTGTATTAGGCCTTTTTTAATGCATTTTGGTTGCTTGTGAATCAGGTTCTATTACAGTGTTCTGCAATTTGAAAACATGACCTTTTTAATGAATGGTCTTTTTTCATTAGGTTGTTTAATACTAGTCTTAATTTTTGACCAAGATTAATTTTCACGTTGTTGTATAACATCACTTCAGCATTTTGAGATTCATTCTAATTATAAATCCCACTGTAATGTGATTGAAGGCTGATTTATTTATTTATTTATTTATTTATTTATTTATTTATTTATTTATTTATTTATCTATTTATCTATCTATCTATTGCTCTCTAATGTACTGTATCATCTGCAGTGTGTCAAGATGCGCATTATTTTAGCCACTGACTGGAGATTCATGATCGTACTGTACATTAAATACTATAAATGTATACCATGTCTCTTTCTTGTGTGCACAGATTCTTTTTGGAGAACTGTGCGCTTTCTTCATCAAGGCAGAGGGAACCCAGGAGAAGACCATYGTCACTGCAGACTGCTGCTACTTCAACCCCTTACTCAGACGCATTGTACGCTTCTTAGGTGAGCCTCCCTGTTCTTTGTCTTCCTGTGAAAAGGCTTCTTGTACTCATGTAAGTTTTTATCAGGAAGAAAGCAAAACTAAGAAACAGCTCAAGACAGCAACAGAGTCAAGGTTGAGTTGTGAAAACGTGACCTGTTACCCTTCAGTTTGTCTACATGCAGCAGTTAATTGGATGATCAAATGAGCCGTAATCTTTGAGGTAGAATGTTCAGGATCCTGGCAGGGAAACTGACATGAATATTAAGCAGCTTGCAAATTTGCATCCTGAGCGCAAATTAGTCGAGATGAAGATTTCTGCTGCAATTTCACACCTCAACTGAAAATAATGTGTTGGAGCTGTTTTTGGAGGGGGGTGGGGAGGTGGGGACTTATCTTTTTTTTGTGGGGACTTATCATCTGTTTTATCTCAGAGCTCACGTTGTGATATTAATCTCAGGCAAACATTTAATCTGCTTTTATCTGATACGCAAAACTAAAAAAATTTTTTTTTAAATAAATAATAAGTTTCTTTATTCCCCAATTTTAAAACCATTCCCTAATGAATCAGACTCTTCCTTGTTCTTGTCTTGTATGCAGGTGTGTATGCCTTCGGTTTGTTCACCACCACCATTTTTGCCAATGCCGGCCAGGTGGTGACAGGGAACCAGACGCCTCACTTCTTGTCCGCATGCCGGCCAAACTACACAGCATTAGGCTGCCAGTCAACCATGCAGTACATCACAGAGCGCCGGGCGTGCACAGGCAACCCACTGATTGTGATGTCTGCACGTAAATCCTTCCCATCTAAGGATGCGGCGCTCAGCGTGTACTCCGCACTCTACACAGTGGTAGGTTGGCGCATGCTACTGCTGGTCGCACTATCTCCTACTTATTTACTCCCTGCTGATAGTTTCTAGTGTCTCTTTCTGTTTTATTTAAATAAAAGTTAAGATGCTGTTTTTTTGGTAATGAAAAATATTCTAAAGATTCTAAAGCAAGAAAGATTATTCGTTTGACTTCCTAGTTTTGTACAAACATCGTGGTTAGAATGATATGAAAGAATGTTTGCAGGCTCTTTGTGTATTCTTGGGATTGTTGTACCCCGCTATTGGTGTGCTGTTCTGCAGATGTATGTGACATTGGTGTTCAAGACCAAAGGTACACGGCTCACCAAGCCCACCATCAGCCTTACCCTGCTCTGCCTGGCCATGCTTGTGGGAGTAGTGAGGGTGGCCGAGTACCGAAACCACTGGGCTGACGTGCTGGCCGGGTTCTTCACAGGAGGAGCCATTGCTGTGTTCTTGGTGAGGAGAAAGTAGGCGGAAGAAGTCAAAGTATAAAATAATTTTGTTACATATTTTACTAATAATGTGTTGCTTTGTTCAACCTACAGTATAGAAAAGCCCTTTGCCTCTGACCAAATAAAGGAGTAGAATCCTGCAGTTAAGGTAGATACAGTATGACAAGCAGTAAAGGGCTCGAGAGGGGAAACATTTCATACTCAGGTCCCAGTTTTAGCCCAGCAACAGACAATAATAGTTCAAAACAGTAAAATAAATAACAGTGATCTAAAAAATCTGAGTTTTCAACTACCCTAGCTATTTAGGTATACTAGAACCTCATAAATATTTAAAGAAACTTTGTTTTTACCTCTCCTTGGGCTGCCACCTCATCGTGGTGGAGAGGTTTGAGTGTCCCAATGATCCTAGGAGCTATGTTGTCAGGGTAGGGTCATGCAAACAGGTCCTAGGTGAGGGATCAGACCAAGCGCAGCCCAAAGACCCCTATGATGAGTGACATAAATGGATTCAGTGTTCCCTCGCCCAGACGCGGGTGACTGGGGCCCAACTCTGGAGCCAGGCCTGGAGGTGGGGCATGATGGCAAGTGCCTGGTGGCGGGGCTTTCACCCATGGAGCACAGCCTGAAGTGGAGACTTGGGTCCCCCTTCCCATGGGCTCACGACCTGTAGGAGGGGCCAAAGGGGTTGGGTGCATTGTGTGTTGGGCAGTAGTCAAAGGTGAGGACCTTGGCAGTCTGATCCTCAGCTACAGAAGCTGGCTCTAGGGATGTGGAACGTCACCTCTCTGGTGGGGAAGGAGCCTGAGCTGGTGTGTGAGGCTGAGAGGTTCCGACTAGATATAGTCGGACTCACCTCGACACACCGCTCTGGCTCTGGAACCAGTCTCCTCGAGAGGGGTTGGACACTCTTCCACCCTGGAGTTTCCCATGCTGAGAGGCGCCGAGCAGGATTGGGCATACGTATTGCCCCCCATCTTGGTGCCTGTACATTGGGGTTCACCCCAGTGAATGAGAGGGTAGCCTCCCTCCGCATATGTGTGGGAGGACAGGTACTGACTGTTGTTTGTGCCTATGAGCCTAACAGCAGTTCACTTGGCACCAGGACACCCTTGGCCGCAGCTCGATGATCGACTTTCTTGTCATTTCATCTGATCTGCGGATACATGTTTTGGACACTCTGGTGAAGAAAGGGGCAGAGCTGTCAACTGACTACTACCTAGTGGTGAGTTGGGTCCGTTGGTGAGGGAGGATGCTGGTCAGACCTGGCAGACCCAAACGTAGTGAGGGTCTGCTGGGAATGTCTGGCAGAGTCTCCTGTCAGACGGAGCTTCAACACACACATCCGGGAGAACTTCGAACACGTTCCGGGGGAGTTGGGGGACATTGAGTCTGAGTGGGCCATGTTCCATGCCTCCATTGTTGAGGCGGCTTACCTGGGCTGTGGCCATAAAGTTGTCGGTGCCTGTCGTGGCTGCAACCCTCGAACCCGCTGGTGGACACCGGCGGTGAGGGATGCTGTCAGGCTGAAGAGGGAGTCCTATTGGGTCTTTTTGGCCTGTGGGACTCCAGAAGCAGCTGATAGGTATCAGCAGTCCAAGTGGATTGCGGCTCGGGTGGTCGCTGAAGCAAAACCTCGGGCATGGGAGGAGTTCGGAGAGGCCATGGAAAAAGACTTCCACATGGCTTTGAGGCAATTCTGGTCCACCATCCGGCGTCTCTGGGAGGGAAAGCGCTTCGCCACCAACACTGGTTATGATGGGGTTGGTGTGCTGCTGACCTCAACTCGAGATGTTGTGGGTCGGTGTGCGGAATACTTCAAAAACCTCCTCAATCCGATACCGACACGTCTTCCCATGAGGAAGCAGAGCCTGAGGACCCTGGGTCTGACTCTCCAATCTCTGGTGCTGAGGTCAACGAGGTGATTAAAAAGCTCCTTTGTGGCAAGGTGCCGGGGGTGGATGAGATTCGCCCGGAGTTCCTTAAGGCTCTGGATGTTGTGGGGTTGCATTGGTTGACGCAACTCTACAATATCAAGTGGACATTGGGGGCAGTTCCTCTGGATTGGCAGACTGGGTTGGTGGTCCCCCTACATAAAAAGGGGGGACTGTAGAGTGTGTTCCAACTATAGGGGGATCACACTTCTGAGCCTCCCTGGTAAGGTCTATTCAGGGGTCCTAGAAAGGAGGGTCCATAAAATAGTCCAAACTCGGATTCAGGAATAGCAGTATGGCTTTCATCCTGGTCGTAGAACAGTGGACCAGCTCTACACCCTCAGCAAGGTCCTGGAGGGTGCTTGGGATTTCGCCCAACCAGTCTACATGTGTTTGTGGACGTGGAGAAGGCATTTGACTGTGTCCCTTGGGGACTCCTGTGGGAGGTACTCTGGGAGTATGGGGTACCAGACCCGTTGATACTGTTAGGTCCGTATACGACCGGTGCCAGAGCTTGGTCCACATTGCCAGTAGTAAGTCAGACTTGTTTCCAGTGAGAGTTGGCTCCAGCCTAATCTACATCTCAGGGCCTCTCATGTGGTTCTATTAAAGCTGGCAACTCAGCACACTCCAGACGTTGAACTGAGAAAGCCTCCTGGATAGAAAGCAAAGTGTCTTTAACTCTCTGTTTCATCATGACCTGCATGACTGAGAATCTTCACTGGCATACTAATAAAAACTAGTTCAAACAGGGCCTGAAAAGCATTGTTTCACAATAATTCATTTGTAACTACAATAGTTTGAAATAATTAGACAGCTCAGAAGCACATTCATTTATTTACCCATTTGAGCTTTATTTAACCAGGTTAGTAAGTTGAAAACACGTTCTCATTTGCAATGACAACCTGGCCAAGAGGCATCAAATACTGGAACAGGAAAGCACAAGACAAGCAACACATAAACAGCTGACAAATGAACATCAAATAGTACAGACCATGTCAGAGTTCGCCAATCAAAGAACCAAGATCATGTACACATGAATGGCAACAGAGATTAAAGTTGAAATTGTTAAAAGGATGTGCAGCAGTAATCAAGCCATGCTCTCACTGTGTTTTTAAACGATGCAAACAGAACAACAGACGCACTGTAAGTAAGCGTTTTTGCAACTGGTTCCAATCATTAGGCCTTGGCTAGGTTGACAAAGACAGCAGCGCAGTATTTTTTTTTCTTTTATCAGTTGCACAAACAATATCATCCACAACCTTAACAACAACAAGAAACAAACATTTGTGCTTCTTGTTTTTTTTGATCAGAAACAATGTCTTCCTTTGTACTGACTTCAGGCTTTGGAGCTTTGTAGACCTTTTACACAAAATAGGTACAATGAAATAGTCTCTTAAAGGTGCTTTTCCAAGTACTTTCTTGAAATTGCTACCCTTTAAACTTGTACATACTGTGTGCTCTGATTAGATCCATCTACACACCTAATTATTTCTTGCTGCTTTAAAGATGTGATTAAATAGCTCATTTCCATTGCAGGATATGAAGAGAGCTGAGTAAATTTCTGTTTCTCTCAATTACTCTGTCTCCAGGTGACTTGTGTGATCAACAACTTCCAGCAGTTTCAATCCAGCCCACCTCCACAGAGACCCCAACACCCTGAGTCAGTGCTGGGCATGCCCATGGTGGCGCTGCCATGTGTGGAGAGTCCACTCGAAAAGTTAAGTGGCACTCAGGTAAGGGGCGAGGGTGGATGTGAGTCAAAATCGTTCCCCCCAAATAGCTGAGAATAACACCCCCTTGTCTCTTAACTGAAACCTTTTTCCCCATGTCGTTAAAAAGGAGCAAACATGCATGTTCCTAGCCCCACATGCACCCCTGGTACCAACTGACACCCAGTGAAATCTTTTTGGCACAACAGTTGCAGGCGTCTAAGAGCATAGATTTGATCTGGTTGTGAGAAGTAAACCAGATGATAGACCAAACTCTAGTGTGAGGTGTTAAGATCACACTGGGCTGCACCTATTGAAGTTTAGTTGGCAACTCAAAACAAAACAAATAGGCTAACTTTTTTTGTGGCAAATTCCCTGAATTTTGAGTGTTCACAACAAGCGAGCTGTATACCCACAATTTATGCTGACAGTTTTTGAAAATCAAAGTCTACTATTGCACAAGTAGAGAAACGGTATTGTCAGCTGTGTCCCGTCTTCACCCACATCAGCCCAATTTGTCAGCCACTCTTATGGGTTTCACACTATAGTGGTTTAGATGGATTATGCTGACTATTGTTATGAATATTTTTCTCATTAAAATGATATATTCTAATAGCAATAGCATTACAGTACATATGTCTAAAAGAGGCTTCCAGTATTTTTTTTAGTGTTATTTAGTGTTGGACAACATTTTTATAAGTTGGCATAACAAAACATAGCATAACATAGCATAGTGTGATAGAGCCTTTACATGTGCAATTTAATCAGATGTAGTAATAATTTTTTTATCATTGACAAAATGTTTTTTTTTTTTTTTTACTTGGACACGAAGGGCTGTAGCCTTGGAAGTTTTCTGTCATTGGAGCGTTTCATGCTGGTGTCAAAATACAGCTTCATTGTTGTAAAATGTAAGTAATGGTAATCAAGACAAGTCAGAGACACTCACTGCAACTGCACAATATTTGGAGAAAACTATTTTTGCCCAAAATATTTGAGAATGTATAAGGTTCAAGTGACAAACTGTGATCCTCTAAAACTCATGCAGGGCAAATGAGAACTACTGTGAACATTTTGAGACATTTTGCAGACTCCTTGAATGCCATTCACCAACTTGTTGCCGCCAGTCGCAGCCCAGTGAGATATTCATTATATCTTTGGTCATGATTGAGCTACTGTAGTTCTGATGACGTACAGTATGTACATAAGAGAGGCGCAGATGCAGATAAGCCAATGAAACCAAGATGTTCCTTATTGCTGCAGTTGAATCTAAAAAAGTAAATGTTCCTAAGACCTCCTCATCATTTGCAGCTATCTAAACAAAAGAAGACAAAACACTCACTTTAGGTTTTCAAGTAATCAAGGATTGAGAAAGTGACCTTCCTTCCTTCAGCTCAGGATGTGATGGTAAGCAGGTAAATAAAAACTATAAACTTTGCTGAAGGTAGAATAAAGTACAGTATCAGGTCCAACTCCAGAAGATGAATAAAGTTTTTTCTTCTCTTCAAAAGTGCAATATCTCTTAAAGAGATTCTTCCAGGGGTGCTGTTCTTGTAGTTTTCTGATTGTCTTGCGTCCTCTGTTGTCTGTCTAACCCTCACCTGATTGCTTCTTCTCCTCTGTCCCCCACCTCTTCTCTCAATCTGCTTCCTTGTCCCTCACTCCACTCCAGCATCCTGCACTTTCCACCGCCTCCTCTCCGCCTTACAATGCCTACATCCAGCCATTCTAACCAGCTCTGAACCTTGTCGTCACTCCCTCTCTGTCTCTGTCATCCGTTGCCTTATTTCTGGTTTTTTACTCCTTGTTCTCTGCCTCCCCATCCCGGCGCATTGCTCTGGTTTATTCTTTTTCTCCACCTCCCTCTTTCTTCGCCCTCCCGCCGTCCTCTCTCTTTCTCACTCCTTTCTTTCCCCTGCAGACTCCGTGGAGATCTCCGCGTTCTGAGATCACATGACCATCAGCCCTATCGGTTCCCCGCCACCCCCGATGTCCTCATACCGTCTCGCTCCATTTCCAGCGAAGTCTAGACCAGCCAGAACAGCCGTCGCCCCGCTGCGCCACCCATACGTCAGGGCGGCACGCCAGGCTGCACCGCTCCTATTCTACGCAGGTCTAGAAATACAGCACAACACCCTGCTGCCCTCCCAAACCCCGGGGAACCGATAGGAAACTAACCGAAGACTTTTTATTTACTGGACACCCAGTAAATACTATGAACATTCAATACAGAGTCAGGAACATTAATTTAGTGTTTGACTTTTACTTCTTTTGTACGAAACCAATCACACGAAGCTCACTTTTACCTTTTTTTTTTTGCGGTGAACTCTGCAAAGAAATCTACATCAAACTTTGGCATCCAGAAACTGTCCTTTTTAGGTATGAACGAGTTTAAATTTGATTGCAAGAGGCAGGTGCTGACTCATCAAAGTGACTCTGAACTCCCGAGACACAGCTTCGAGGCGCAGGGAGGCTGCCATGTTGGACCAAAGAAATCTGCTGCAGGAAACATGAGCTGCAGAGATTTTTCCAGACAAACATCCCTTAAGCAAGCCATACACACAAAAACACACACACTCACACACATAGAAACAGGCATTTTGTTTTTATTTCCTGTCTGCACTTTCTATCATTTCTTCTACACACACTAGGGTGACCAGGTCCAGCAAACTGAGGGACAGAGTGTGTTTTCATGGGTCAATATGGGACATGTTTAGTGCTAAAAGGTAGTTACCACTTTGATGTTTAACAAAAAAAACATAAACTTTCTCAACAGACCACACAGTATAAATTAAACTATTATTGTAAAAAAATAGTATTTGTTTCCCTATCATTTTATGAGCAATACTGTTGCTGATTCCCTCAATAAGGGGGAGAAATTACTGAGTTCTACAGTGAGTCAGAAGTTGCATGACATTCTTCTTTTTTTTCAGGAAGAAAAAACAATTCAAATCTGAATACCCCAGCAAGTACTGGGTGAGGGAGCCTATAGGCTATATGCATAACATGGCCTTCATCTTGAAAACTGCCATTTAGGATATAGGACACGTTTTTCCAAAGATCTGATTCAGCTGTCCAGCTAATACTTCTTAGATTTTTCCCTTTTATTTCTGAAATAAACAAGTGTCCTGCAACTTTTGACTCACCCTCTATTTGCACTAAACAGTGAAGGGGGCTGCGGTAGATCAGTGGTTGTTGTGGTAATAAATATTTAACAAGGACAGAAATACATGGATCAAAGAATAAAGGTACTTTGTAGAATGGTCAGCTGAGGTTGTTTATTGCAATAAACAGGAAGTTAATACAGAGACATCACGTTGTCTCTTAAGATGCTAACATACGTATCTAATGGCAAACTTTATGGACTGTTTCAACATACAGATCAGATCATGATGTCACTCCCAGGCGCCAAGGCCAAAAGAAAAGAAAAATAACAGTGATAAATTACAGTAACGAGTGTGATTGCTCTCATCAGATCTTGTCCTGGAAATACAACATCCCTATCTGTTGACAACCAAAAGAACAGAATAAAACACAGTGACCTGATGTCATCGGGTCAGTTGAATACCTTATAACCTGACGTAAACAGGAACAGATCAATAAGTATCTTTCCATTTCAGTCTTGTAATCCTGAAGATGCAGATTTGAGCCCAGGTTGCTTCAGGAAAGACATCTTGCATAAAACCATTTTCATGGTTCACCCGCTGGGGCGACCCCTGATGAAAGGGAGCAGGCAAAAGTAAAAAAAAAAAAAAAACATTTGTATTAAATGGTGGAGCTACAGTGAAATGTGTGTGTGCATTTTAATCTGAGCAAACTATAACCTGTCATAGATTCTCTCAGCCTCTGTCTGTTTGCTGTCTGGGATGTACATGCCTTTTTCTAAATGCTATTTTAAAACTTTTTTATATGTATCAGAAGTGAAACTTAAATTATTCATGACCCTGTTATATTAGTTTAAAATAAAATATAAACGATTCTAATTATAGGCTACCAACAGTAAAAAAATTGATAATTTCAAATACCTAAAAATTAATATAATAATAATAATAATAATAATATTTGCCTTCTTAAATATTCTAATGCTTTAGGCTGTATTATAAGTTTTCTCAGAGAACAATAAGCTTTTAAATTAGCTTCCGATGGTTTGAGAGTCCTTTCAGGTAAACAGTGAAAATGTCAGAGAGAAGACCTTCATAACAAATTCAGTTCATTTTCTGTTAAAACAGTTTTATACTTGTTCTCAGCTCTTGTACTTTAGACAATCATGAGATCCAACCAACAACAGGTATGACTACGTAACAGAAACAGTTTTTATTTTTCACATGTATTTATTTCAATGTAAGATCATAAACCTAAGCCAAATCCAATGATTGCCCTCCATTTAAAATTGTGGGCAAATAAACAATACATTAATAAAACAAGTAAAGGTGAATAAAAGCCAACGAAGAGGCAGTAAAACAAAAATTCAGATTAAGCTGCTTCAGTTTGTGCATCACAAACTCTTGAGTTCATCACAGCAATAACTCAACACAAACTATGCACTTCATTGCCTTGAAAACACCAAAACAGTATCAACTTGGTGATGAATTCCAGCACCACTGGCTCATAATATTACATTTATGCGCCAAATATTTGTCATCTTGCCGTAGAAGTTCTTTGTTATTTTGTAGTTTCTGCTTCAGCTACAAGTTTCTAGCTTACAGTGAATCCTTCCTTTTCATGTGAAGTCTACCTGGCCCATGTTGTGTTTCTCAGTTATAGTTCCTTACTGATATAATTATAGTAAAAGTAATGATATTATTTATGACTGAGCCAATCATCTAAATTTACCCTGCTAAACGGAAATAAAAGCAGCAAAGGCAAGCTGACCTGCCCTTCATGACGTGTTTAGTTAAACTGACGTCAAACATAAATTCATATCAAAGCTCTGACCACTTACACCGACAGGAAGTAACGTCTGTATTTCACTGGGCTGCGACTGCTGGCAACAAATTGCAAAAATCTGCAAGAGAATTTCCAAAATGTCTTAAAATTATGGCAAGGATTCAAAATTTCCTCTCACAAGTCACACAGCCTCACCCTTGTGTTGCAAAATATTTGAATATGCAAAAAAATTGCATGCCAGTGAATTTTGGACCAAATTTTTGCCATGAGTTTGGCACAAATGTTGCTCCATGTGATTCCTTGTGAAAATGTTCATATTTTCCGCACAATTTTGTAAACAAAAAAAAATCCCATCATTTGCAGCAGCTCAGCGAGTCACTTCTCTAAAATCTTTATTTGTTCACTCGTAAAAAAACAGTTGAACTCAACAGCGTCGTATTGATATATGGGATGAGGGGAAAACAATTTTGAAAAAAATGTGTGGTCCTGCATCTGGTCACCCTAAAACACACACACAGAGAGAGAGAGAGAGAGAGAGAGAGAGAGAGAGAGA